AAGGGGACAATTAGCAGAAATTGCTGCTACATCTTGATAATCCGGTGTATTTTTATTAAAAAGTTCACGAGAAACATCGCTAGTAGAAGGTTGATTTTCTTCTTTCCAAATTTCAAGGAAAACTAATAAATATTTTTGAAGATGAATGTGAATCATTATCACATTCTGGAACAAAACACTTTTTCGTAGTCATAATATTTATAAAAAGTACAAAATTAAACAATCAAATTCCAAATAAATTCTTGATGGAGACACTATGATGACAGATGCCATACACAGTGCTGCCATTTTGCCATTTTCTGAATTATTAAGTGACTTTTAAAACAATGAAACTTTAAATATGGTAAAAGTTTAAACAGAAATAATACTTTCAAAAAACATTTGATATTATATATTTAAAAGATATTTGTTTAACGATGTTTTAGAAGTCTAAAAGTAAGAAGGAGTACACAAACGAACGTACATCACTTCTCGTAAACCTTCTAGCCGGCAACGTTGTGCGCTAGCTCCTATTGGTCTATTCCCGGTGACGTCATAAATTTTAAAAAAAAATCATAACTCCGGCAAATGAATAGATAAAAAAAAAATAAAAAAAATGTAATTTTATTTTCAACTCTATTATTCATAAAAAAAATTTCAAAATTTTTGAACATGCCCCATTCAGTGACCTCAAAAACTCAAAAGGCGTGTTCTTTTATTCAACAATTGTTCCATCAGTGATTGATGTCATGACGTCACTGATTAAGTTCTGGTGGAGGTATTTGCGCTGAATATAAGAACGAACGACATTTTTCAAATGAAAAAGTTGACGTTTGACATCGCTTTAAAAATTAAACCAGTTTTAATTTAAATTAACAGCAATTTATCTCATCTGTAGCCGTTTTATATTTAAACTCTTATATTGTAGGTTAACTTTTATCTAAATAATCGTGTTCACTCTTTCAAACAAATTGATTAACTATCCCCTCCATTCATCCATCGGCTTTTAAGCCGATGGATGCGTTGACTCATTGGTGAACTCACCGCTGGAAAAAAGAACGATTGACACAAAATCGTGTTTCCATCGCTTAATTTATGAACGGTTTGCTGCAAGCGCTGGATACAGCGCTGAATAAAAGAACACGCCTAAACTCTCAATGTGAAAAGAGGATATTTACTTTTATATTCCTCGTTGACTGTGAATTGACAGCTGCCAACGGTTAATTTGTCCAATCTGACATGAGAATTGAATTCAGCGACCTCAAAAACCCAAACTCTCAATGTTTTAGCAAACACCGCTAACCATCCGCTAACGTTACCTTAGCGATATACTGTAATCTACCCCTTTGAATGTTTATGAAAAATGTCACAATCTAAGTTTAACGTAACGTTAGCGGAGTTCTTACGTACATTTGCTAAAACTCTCTATTTACTTTTATATTCCTCGTTGACGGTGAATTGATATCTGTCAACGGTCAATTTGTCCAATCTGACATGAGGGTTGAATAATTAAAATATGCTTTTAACATCTGTAAATAGTATTGAAAATGAATAGTTTTGCAACGGATCAGGGGAGCTTTGGCAGCTCCGTAGCTGCCAAACTATTAATTTTGGAGACTTTTGTTCAGGATGACAAAATCTACAACATATCAAAAATTCAGACAATTTGACAGAAACCCAATTTCCATAAGATTATTGCGGGGTGCTTTTCAATTAATAAAAGAGTTGAGGTAGAATTTATAATTCTTTTAAATACTTTTTACAAATCGGTAATTTTCTCAAAACTAATAATTTTGTAATGTGCTATTGCACCCAGTGAGCGATATGATTAGTAGCAAACAACATTGGCAGATCAACTATGACCACTTTGATGCTCTTTACCAAGTATGTTGCTACTGCTGTAAAAGATGGTCATCAAGTGGATACAATTTATACGGATTTGGCTAAGGCTTTTGATCGAGTTGACCACAATATTTTAAAGGGTAAATTGTATGCTCTAGGAATTTAAGGACAGTCTTTGAATTGGCTAATTTCTTATTTTACAGACCGTGTTTGTTGTGTAAAAATTCAAAATGCCATGTCTAGTGAATATGCAGCGATGTTAGGGGTTCGTCAGGGATCACACTTGGGTCCAGTGTATTTTAGTATTTACATTATTGATGTAGTGAAACATTTAAATGATACTGAAGTTTTAATGTATCCTGATGATATCAAATTGTATAATATCATTAAAGATCCATGTGATTGTCTTGTACTACAAAACAATTTAGACAGTTTGAACGAATACTGCTTTTTGCATGGATTACTAATTAATTCCGTAAAATGTAACGTAATGTCTTTTTATAATCATACTTGAGTTGCATGGAAATCGTATTAATAAAGTTGACAGTATAAAAGATCTTGGGGTTATATTTCAATCTGATCTATCTTTTTCTCAGCATGTCGACTACGTTGCTGGTAAAGCCTCAAAACAGTTAGGATTCGTGAGAAGGCATTCAGCAGACTTTATGAATTTGAATACAATTAAAATCCTATTTTATTCACTCATAAGGTCACATTTGGAATATTGTTCTGTTATTTGGTCACCATATGCCCAAATTATTATTGAAAAGCTTGAAAGAGTGCAACTTAGATTTTTAATGTATTTTTCTTTTAAATTGTCACTACCGTACTCTTATACAAATATGCTTGTCACTACAAATAAAAAAATGTTAGCTTCCCGAAGAGAATTTATTGATTTTATATTTATCTTTAGACTGGTAAATGGCCTTGTTGACTCTGCGGAACTCTTGCAAAGGGTAGATTTTTATATACCACCTAGGCAGTTGCATGATAGCTGCACATTTGCTTTGAAAGCTCATAGAACTAACTATGGCTCAGGAATTGGTATGATCAGACTTCTGAAAAATGCTAATACATTGCTGCAAAACAAAACCAATTGAAAAGAGCTGTTAAGCAAAAAAAAAATGTGTTATGTTTACATAATATATTTATACAGGGTGTCTGTAGAAGGTCTTTACAAAAACATACCACATATTCCTTAGACCAAAATAAGTCGATTTAAGTAGAATTACCTTAGTACAAAGTTGCTTCGTTTGGGCTCCAGAGGGCCTTGAAGTTACAATTTTTAAATCGTTTTTCCCATATAAATTTAAAACGGCATAAGCGATTTTGCTGAAATTTGGTATATTGGTAGAGTTTTATGTGGCAAAAGAATGGTATTAAAATTTTGTCCGATAATAATACATAAACGTAGAACTTGATTTTTTAAATAATTGCACCTTTAAAAATCCTACGCCAATGGAAGAAAAGGAGTTTGAGTATGAAATTTAGATTGCGCAACTCATTTACTTTAAAAAAGGTACTCTTGATAAGACTCGATTACTCTCATGGTTTTCGCTAAATTTCTGTTTTAATAATTTAGAGTGTATAGGTTTCACAAAAATATTTATTTACAACATAATCAAAATAGAGATTTTACAAAAAATGTTCAAAATGTTCACCATTTTCACGCATACAAAGATTTATACGTCGAAGAAAACTAAAATGTATCCTTTCCATAACTTCTTCATGGATTGTTTATTGCATCTTGAATACGTTACCAGAGTTGTTCCTCATTTTCTACAGGTTCCCTGTAAACTGTGGATTTCAGATGTCCCCATAAAAAGTAATCCATCGGTGTTAGGTCTGGGGAACGTGGTGGCCAGTTTACAGGTGCGTCATTACCTCTGCCTATCCATTTGTGTGGATATTGTTCATTCAAGTGGTTTCTAACGTTTAAAGAAAAATGTGGTGGAGCTCCATCTTGCATAAACCACATATCTCTTCGAAGTTGGAGAGGCAAATCTTCTAACAATTCTGGCAACGTATTTAGTAGAAAATCCAAATAATTTTCTCCAGTTAATCTTCGTGGAAGTATGACAGGACCAACAATGAAATTACCAATTATTCCAGCCCACACATTAATTTTGAATTCGTGCTGAAAATGGTTTACCTTTATTGCATGCGGATTTTCAACGGCATAAACATGTTCATTATGGGTATTAGTTATACCTCTTCTTGTAAAACCCGCTTCATCGGTAAAGAGAACCTTCTTGACAAAGTTTGGATCTCTTTCTCTTTGCATATTAACAAATCGACAAAAACCCAAACGAATTTGAGGATCATGGACTAATAATTCTTGTACTGACTTCTTATGGTATGGATATAGCAATTGTTCTCTAAGCACTTTATGAACGACATCTTTACTTACTCCTTCCAACGACGATTTGGAAACCTTTCAGAGTACACCCTGACACTCTCTCGAGCATTTCCTTCACAAAATCCTAATGTCAGTAACATATCGGTATATTCTGCATTGGTATATTGTACAGCCATATTAATAAACCACGCATTTGTTTTTTTAATTATTGAGTCAAATAGAACACTTTCAATCGTTAACAAGAGATTAGGTGTTAAAACGTAGAAGGCGTAGAATTTTTAAAGGTGCAATTATTTAAAAAATCAAGTTCTACGCCTATGTATTATTATCGGACAAAATTTTAATACCATTTTTTTGCCACATAAAACTCTACCAATATACCAAATTTCAGCAAAATCGCATATGCCGTTTTAAATTTATATGGGAAAAACGATTTAAAAATTGTAACTTCAAGGCCCTCTGGAGGCCAAACGAATCAACTTTGTACTAAGGTAATTTTAATTAAATCGACTTATTTTGGTCTAAGGAATATGTGGTATGTTTTTGTAAAGACCTATTATTTTTTTTTATTATAAACTTTGTAAATGGTTTAAACTGTATGATAAATAATTTGACAACTACGTGGATGAAACCATGAATGTTTGCAATTCGATTTTTGTAAACAAAATTAGTCTAGTAGTCGTTGTGACATTCACTTTAGTGGGACACTATACTACAAGTCTACCTAAGATTGTTTTTAAAAAGGTTTTTTTTTTTGTTTTTAAGTATTGATTCATTGTTTTTACTTTTCTTTAAAATATACAATTGTATTTTTTTCCAGGGTAGTATAAATGAACCTGGGTTAGGTTTACTAACATGGTGGGACAATTAACTATAGATGACAAATATAATAAAATTATATTAAAATTTTGTAAGTATTGTTGAAGATGCCTATGGATTATTGTAAATAAATGTGATGAAACCAATTCACTTAACAATGTTATGTTAAATATTTTTATTTTTTGCTGCCTAACGTATACCTATTTTTTTGTTGTCCAATCAAATGTGTTTTGCAGTAATACCTCTCAGTCCCACACTATGAGAATTTGGATCTTTCTGATTTCTTTTGATATTCCCAACTGTATGTACTTGACTTGTGTGTAGTTGGATGTTTAATTCTGCTTTTGAATTACCTTTGCTCTGCTGATGACTGATGATGAAGCCATTACATTGAATTGAATCATAATTATTGATGATAGCTTATGATAGCTTGTTAAATTTTCAGAAATAAATAATACAAACATTTATTTTACAAAATATCTATTTTGTCGACACAAATATGGTTTTCAACATATAATAAAAAATCTAAAAAATCACAATCACATAAACACGCTTTCTCAAATGGTCCACACGAATAATAAAATCAATACAATTTGGTGAACATAATGTTATTTTATATATAGTTAAATTTAAAACTTATTGATTTACTTAAAAGCTTATAGTTGTTAAATTCATGATTCTTCAACCAATTTTTCTTAAAATAAATAATACGTTCTTAAATGTCCCTATTTTAGATATTAAACATAATTATTCTTTCTCCAGATAATTTGATTGTTTTTGCAAATTTCTTAATTTAGATTACCTAATCGATTTTAATAAGGCGTTTTTGCAATATTATTATGTAGATATGTGACTTGCAATATTAGGGAGTTGCATTTTAATTAATAGCTAGTAGCAATACATATTTTTTTCAATTTGAAATTTAATACCAAATGATGTTCTTTTTATTGTTTCAACTCAATATTCAAACATAATAAAAAATATTAGTACTTCTTTATTAACATTTTCGTGTGTTTAGTGAAATTCATAAAAAAAAATTTTCTGGTAGAACAAAATCAAATCTAATATGATGAACCTGTTTTTTTATTCTTTTAAAATTAATTTAAATGTTCCAAATGCAAAATATTCGAACCCAATTGTCCATCACATCACCCTGTATTTTAAATTGAGTCTGAGGCGTAAGTGGTAAAGGGACGAAATATTTTGCTATGGCAGACTTAAGGGATAAAGGGACTAAATATTCTTATATGAGCAGGTGTAGGGGGAAGAACCAAATATCTTTGCAAGAAGTAAAGGGCCCACATACTTTTACGTACGAGTAAACTATTTGAAGTTAAAAAAATGTAAATATTAATCAAAAAGCGACATGGAATGGTACTTAAAAATTAAGGCTAGCAATGAGAAATATCTCTATGGCATTTCGTTTAACCTACCAATTGCACATCCCTCGAATTTTGACATTACATTTGTCACTTAGTTTTGCTACCTTAGGTAGGTACTCTGTCATATTGAAATTTAGTTCTAACTATAATATATTTTGATTTCAGTTCAAAATTAAAGCCGTGTTTTATTTTTATGCATACGTCTAGTAATTTTTCTAGCCTGAAATAAAGCTTATTTTAAAAATATTACAAAAGCTTATATTATTACCTTTTTAAAAACTATATTATTGCTTTTTTTAAGTATTGCAAATTGATATGAACTTTCAATGATGTCTTTATGGACCATTTGAGAGCTACCCGTTGATCAAATAAATAAATAATTTACATAAATAGCTAAATTAAAATAACATTTAATAAACATTCAATTCTTAGTAACGAGCTAAGTTATTCTGTGGGTTTCTCAGTGGCATGTATTTTTTGTGATGTAAAACGTTTGTCACGGACTATTTAGTTCAAATAGAAAAGGGAATGCCGACTAAGAATTGAATAAGGAAAAATTCATTAATATTTAATTATAAGAAAAATCTGAAACATACGTATATACACAGTGTCCCATTAGTGCGTAAATACTCCATATTTCAATTTGTGTTGTAGAGACGCAAACAAGTTTCAAATAAAAGTTACATGGATTTAAAAAAGACATGACTTACGTCAACTTTCCTTATAGGATTTAAAGAGTCGACGACTAATAGAAATAATAACGTTTTCAAACCTAATCAAACACCTACACAGAATTTTTCAAAACCTACGCCAATGAGTGTATCCGCGCACAATACATTTAACAGAAATACTCCAATGAGTACTTCCACGTGAAATGGTGCAAATTTTTCAAACTCATTTAATCGAAACCAACCTCGAATGAATTTTATAGCCGAAAAATTATTAATTATATTAATCTTGAACTCACTAATGTTCATAACTCTTCTTATGGCAACGAAAGAGTTTATCTCGAAAATGATTTAATTGATTTTAATGACCCAGAAACAAATTTTCAGAATCAGCCTCGTGGCAGACACACGACGCGACGTAACCCCGCACGTCATATCCCTTAATAATATAAAAAATGCAAACGAATTACCTTATATATTTTTTACAGAGCATAATTTAAAATTACTGATTGACTCAGGGTCTACAAAATCTTTTATTGATCTAAACGTAGCAACCAAATTTTATTCTAAATATATAAAAGACGATCCATTTATTGTTTCGTCTGTGTTTCAAAAATCTGTTCATGAGTATAGTACGTTAATTCCAACTCCAAAAATGTTTAAATTACCAAATCTTACAAATTTAAAATTCTTGTTGTTTAAATTCCATAATATATTTGATGGTTTAATAGGAATAGACCCCTTATACTAAAATTCAGTTAATTTTTTAAGCCAACTCAAAATGGAATACATTTTTTAAACAGCTCCGCGTTGCAAACAAATATAAAAATAAAAACTACTGTTTCTAACGGAGAAATAATAATTCCACATCAAAAATACGGAAATTGCGAAATACCAGAATGTCTTACAATAGCCAAAAATGGCAAAAATTGACAATTTTAAATAATTCTACCTGCCCAGTTACTTTAGATTTTTCAAAACCAATAGATGTAGAAACATTTGATAGAGACTTAATTCAAGAATTTAACATAAAACATTTTGACGAAAGTTTAAAACAAAATCTAGACCTTTCAAAATTCAGAACCAACCATTTAAATTTAGAAGAGAAATCACAGATAATTAATTTAATTAAAGAATACACAGACATATTTCATCAAGATAATCTACCCCTAACGTTCACAAACAAAATCAAACACAAAATAAATACAACAAATGAAATTCCTGTTTATTCACGACCATACAGATATCCATTCATATATAAAGAAGAGGTACAAAAACAAATAAAAAAGATGTTAGACTCAAAAATAATTCGCCCTAATAATTTTCCGTGGTCATCCCAGGCCCATGTTTCAGAGGGGGCTAAACAAAATCTTGGGGGGGCTTCATTTTTTTTTATATTAGAGTATACAAACTCCAAAAAGACATGAGGAATTTTGTTTTGAATTCCTTCCTCCGAGGAGGGTATTAAAAAAACAAGCAATTACAAAACACATTTATTCAATAAAAAACATTTTGTTTAAACAAAAAAATAAACTCTACAACAACAAAAATATAAAACGTCTTTTCCAATGAACATTTAACTGGTTGAGGGTTGAGTTAGTAAAAACGGCATCAAATATGCCAGAGTTAAAAAATTATTTTTTTTTTATCAATTTTCAGAATATTTGCAGTTTTATATTTTTTAAATTATTAAACTCAACCAGCAGATTTTCAGTAGTAATACCACAAGTGATTGAATTGGCGCGATAATTCTGTCGATTTATTTTATAACGAAACTGATTTGCTTGAAAACACCACTCGTCCTCCGGACTCGTGGTGTTTTCTTCAAGCAAATCAGTTGAGTTGTGAAATAAAAGACAGAATTATAAGATAAATTCAATCACGAGTGGAATTTTATTAGACTCTTTCACAAACAAAATGAAAGGTAATACGTATTCTCGTTCATCGCAAAAACTAGTAAATTGCTTCCAAACGTACTTCGATTTCTTTGTATTTTTCGGTACATTTTCATCAATTTTTCCATTGATTAATTCGATGGAATTTATCCCAAATCTGCTCATTTTTAAATGCGTGCACGGCGCAATTATTTATATTTGACGTTTAACTGTTACATAAACAATCTGAAAACACCGAACTTGACAGGCCAATCAGGATCAAGAGTCAAGTTTTGTGTTATCGATAATCCGAACTTGACTAGAACTCATGATTGGTTCATTTGATAAGTGCGTGAAATAGTCAATATTTATGTTTTTTGTTCTCTTTTTCAAATGCTAAATGGGTAAGGTTTGCTAGTCTCGGATGTAACATTGACTTCCGCTGAGGTGTCTGAGGTCTATCAATTCTAGTAAGGGCAGAAAAACTGGATTCACGAAGAGCCGTACTACAGGAGAAAGTACGGCAAGTTGCTAGAAATTCATCAGTTTCTTTAAAAGCAGTGCTTTGCCTAAAAATACACTGTAAAATATCGGGATTCTCTGCATCATTCTCGTTTCTCTGTCGATTTATATATTTCTTGACGACTTCTATTTCCGCAGCACTTGTCAATTGAATGCCCAGTTCGGCCAATGGTTGATATTTTTCAATATATAATTTTTCTCCTGACATAATAGCTTCAATTAAATCATTGTTGTCGTTAAATCTACGTCTTAGCTCTACTAATATTATGTCAAGAACTTCAAAAAATATTTTGTTTGAAATCTGCTTCGCTAATGACTGTAGATCTCATAGGCTCGGTAAGTACAAAATTTTGTATCACTTTGCTGGGTTTTCTTTTTCTTGGCGTTGATGGGTCTTCTGAATCAATAATTGAAAATTGTACGTTCATTATATTAACGAGCCGGTGGTACTCATCACTATTTTGCGTTTCTTCAAGCGTTTGCACAACGGCTGAGACTATTTTCATCATGTCAGTAAGTGTGGCCTCCCTGCTTTGTAGAATTTTGTCCGTGCGTGTACTGCTATCTATCAGTAAGCAGTTTTAAGTTTTAACAAAATACACGGTGCTTGGGAACCAACTTTAAATGAAAAGTTTATTTACTAGACTTTTTTTTCGGTCTAAGTATTTCTGAAGGACTATAGATTGGCGCAATATATTTTTTAAAATCGGTTGCAGCAGCCGTTTTTGAGAAAACTCGATTTTTCATGAAAAAGTGACATTTTTTTTACTTTTTTGCTTGTAACTTGCGCATTTCACATTTTCTCGGCTTGCTAAAAGTAAATTTCAATGGGAAAATGTCCGCTCTACAAAAAATAATCAATGACTTTTTTCTCTAAAATCAGCCGATTTGAGATCTCATTTAACTCAAAATCGGCTGATTTTAGAGAAAAAAGTCATTGATGCTTTTTTGTAGAGCGGACATTTTCCTATTAAAATTTACTTTTAGCAAGTTACAAGCAAAAAAGTAAAAAAAAGGTCACTTTTTCATTAAAAATCGATTTTTCTCAAAAACGGCTGCTGGAACCGATTTAAAAAAATATATGGTGCCAATCTATAGCCCTTCAGAAATACTTTGACCAAAAAAAGCCTAGTAAATAAACTTTTCATTTAAAGTTGGTTCCCAAGCACCGTGAAATATCTTGGTTTGACACTACAGGGAAATTAGGGGTATTACCGAAATCAAATTTATGGTTATCCGTTTTCCGATTTTCAGTTTCAATTTATTGTCTGTGGCTTTGTTAATTATGTTTTGATTAAAATGGACAGTAAGCAATAAGTAACTGTAAATAAATAAAGTATTTTGTTGTAAGAGAATATAATATAAGTGACTCAGAACCATTACTAAAAATATATTGATATAACGGTTCTACTATAAAATTTTTATAGTAAGTATTTTTTCTCAACTCACGTTTTCCAAAAAAAATCAGTACAGAATCGCTGAGTGGAAGAAGGGCCCAAGTGACCATTTTTGACATTTCAAAGTAAGATAGCCATTTTGTTAAAATTACCTCCATCCATCGACTGAGCCGAAAAATGGTCTAAAATTCAATACCGTTTGCCTACGGTTACCCATCTGCGAAACAGACTTAGCGGAAGAACGGTCCATGTGCGTCGCATGGACCGTTCTTCCACTCAGTAAGCAATACGTGTTCGACTGCGTCGGCTGATTGTTGTCGTCTTTAGAGGTTAAATTGTATTAGTTATTGAGCCGGTTAGCGAGTGTGAAAAACCAGAAAAAGAATATTTTATAATTTGTTGAAATTAAAATGGAAAGTTCAGATAATGAAGATGGAAGTAAGAGAGGTGACGAGATTAATCAACCGCAAGGCAGAAAAAGGACTAGGAACGTAGAAATGTGGAAGGCCACAAAACATAAACATGCACGTCTGGCAGGTGAATCTTACACGAGTAGTACATCGGGAAATATTAAAGCAGCCAAGAAAACCGGTCCCCCCTGTCTGTAAGTACCATAATTTATATTTTTTACTTTTGTAAAATGCTTACCCAATATACTTGGAGGAATTTATAGAAAAAAAAAACATTATTAAAACGTGTCAAAAACTTGGGGAAACGAATTTTTGACCTATTTTTATGAAGTTTGCATATTATATATGTGATCTTTCTATGTGTGCACGTACACTGTATTTGAAAAGTACGTTTATTTTCAGATGTAAGCTGAAGTGCACAGAATTTTTTTCCGAAGAAGTCAAAAGCAATATTATTGCCAAGTTATACGCCGGTCAACCAAAGAACGAACAAGATACATTCCTAATGGGTTTCATAGATGTAAAACCTTGTAAAAAACATAAGCCCGCCGAAGATAATACCTTTAAAAAAAGTAATACATTCTCTTTTTTTGCATTAAATAGTGAGAATCGACGCCAAATTATTTGCAAAAAAGCATTTATGAGTCTTTATGCACTATCTCATCACCAGGTTCAACGTTTATGCCAATTAGTCGCAACAGGAAAATCACCCCTCGACATGAGAGGACGACATAATACAAGACCTCACGTATTGCCCCCGAATATACTTATCAAGATTAAAGAACACATAGACTCCTTCCCAAAAAAACAGGCACATTATAGTTCAAAAACTATATTTTACTTGGATGCAGCACTAACAGTAAAGGCAATGCATTCCCTATTTCTTCAAAAGTACCCTGAATTACTAAATAAAGTAAAATATGAATATTACTTAAAATATTTTAACGAAAACTTTCAACTTCGCTTCGGGCGACCCCAAGTTGATGTCTGTTCAATTTGTGAGGAACTAGGAACTAAACTAAAAAATCCGAGTCTAAATGACAACGCTAAGCGGGTGGTGGCAGCTGAATTAATGGTGCATAAAAGGCGAGCCAAAAAATTTTATAATAAGCTACAAGAAGTTCAAAAGTTATGTAAAGATAACCCTCAAGTACCTGGAATCACATTCGATTACATGCAAAACCTACCACTTCCTAATATCCCCGTACAGGAAATTTTTTATTTTAGACAGTTTTGGGTATATTTATTTGAGATCCACAATCTAACGGACTCCAGTGGATACTTTTATACCTATCATGAAGGACAGGCTAAAAAGACGCCAAATGAAGTGTGTACTTTTTTACACGACTATATGCAAAATCACATACCAGCAGAGGTTCAAGAATTGCATATTTTTTCGGACGGTTGCCCTGGACAGAACCGAAATAATACTATGGTTCGATTTTTGTTGGCTCTTCAGGAAACTGGACGCTTTTCAAAGGTTTATCATTATTTCCCAATTCGAGGACACTCCTTCCTACCTTGTGACCGTGACTTCGGTACACTAAAAAGAGCAGTCAGAAAACATGACAGGGTTTATCTCCCAGAAGAATACGAGAGCATGATTTTGAGAAGTAGGATCACCAAGCCATTTCAGTTTAAAAGGGTCTCTTACCAGGATATTATTGATTACAAAAACTGGTGGCCACAGTATTACAAAAAAAGCTGCAAGCCTCTCGAAAAGGGAAACAACGTTTTTAGTGTTTCAAAATATCGCGAATTTGTTTTTGACGCTACAAGTCCAGGCCATGTAAAAGTTTCCGAGTTCATTGGCGGTATGGTTTCCTCCACATTTAAACTGGTTAAACCGAACGTAAGGCCAGAGCTCCCAAATGGTAAAGCCTATTCCGAAACAGTACCCATCAACGATAAGAAAATCCAGGACTTAAGAAAGATTATACAATACGTTAGTGGTGAAGATTTAGAGTTCTATTACCATATTATTTCATGGAATGTTACTACTGCCGAATCTGTTGAATAAAACTGTTTGATTACACCTTGTATATACTATTTTATTATCCCTTATATTTTATAGAATAGAAATAAAACAAAATAAAAGAATAAACAATAAAAAAACATTGAAAAAATCAACTGAGTGGAAGAAGGGTTCAAAATCATCAGATATTTTTGACAAAAAATCCTATTTCCGATATGGTAATAAATTTTATTTTTCTGTAAAACAAGTCCAAATAGCCTAAGAAACAAGTCACCTGTGCAGACCAACTCGAAATTCTCTTTCCTTTTTGAAATAATTAGTTTTTTTCGTTTCCTGTAAAATGTGTATTTCTGCACTTGGACCCTTCTTCCACTCAGCGATTCAATTTTAAAAATCGTCGAAGCGACTCATTGTTTGCATTTTTCAACGGCCGTTAATCGCGCTTCTATATATGGGCAATTTTCTAGGGGGGGCGCAGACAAGCTTTAGGGGGGGCTCAGCCCCCTCTGGCGCCCCCCTCGCTACGGGCCTGGGTCATCCCCTATCTGGGTGGTACCAAAAAAAAGGACGTCTCAGGGGAAAGAAAATGGAGGGTTGTAATAGATTATAGACCGTTAAACTCAAAAACCATCGATGATAAATAACCTCTCCCAAACATCACCGACTTATTAGACAAACTCGGTAGATATCAATATTTTACCACTCTCGATCTGGTAAGCGGATTTCACTAGATCGAGATGGAAGAAAAAACCGCATTCACAACTGAAAATGGTCACTGGGAGTTCCTAAGAATGCCATTTGGGTTAAAAGGGGCACCAGCGACATTTCAACGGGTTATAGACAATATTCTTCGAGGTATACAAAACGAGCAATCCCTTGTTTACCTAGACGATATAATAATTTTCTCAACGTCATTGCAGGAGCATATTGAACGCTTAAAAAATGTTTTTCCTACGACCACTTAGGAAAGTGACACATATCACACTATATAGACCTATGGAAAGTGCCCTATATCACACGCGTATGAATAAGAATTTACTTTCCACCCAAGTGAGAATATGCTACTTTCCGCAGTAGCTGTCAGAAAATGTCAAACACATAATTTCTATTTTGATCTATGTAATGTCCATATTAATACTAAAATCGATATGATTGTTAAATTATTGTAAATTAGATCCTAGATATTTATCTTTAACAATTATTTTTAAAATAATTTTAAAATAACTAAGATATATTTGCTTTTTATTCTGGTTAAACACATAAGCGATTAGATCAATCAATTACCGTAAGGCCTGTTAGCTCAGTTGGTTAGAGCATCAACTTTGCAATTTGAGACCGTCCAACGACCGCGATCGAATCCTGGCTGTGCCAGAATTTTTTTTTATTTTTTTTTAATTTTTTTTTATTTGTTTAGAAATTATGAAAATTTAATAAATACGATTATTGTTGATTATTTTTTTAAATACATTTTAATTATTATAATAATCTGGTTTTACATTTTTTGATGAAATTATTTTGTGGTCGTAGGAAAAATATTGTACATCACTTGTGTGAAAAGTGATTTTCCACACTCGTGTGATAGTCGCACTCGGCTTACGCCTCGTGCGACAATATTTCCCACTCGTG